AATAAAAATTCAATTTATTTATCTGAATTTGTATAATATTTTTATATTTTTTTAATCTAAATATATTAAAATATATTGATAATTAGAAAATTAAACCTGTTGAGTCTGAAGTGAATACTGTTACTAATTATTTTTGTGTATTATAGATTAATTTAGAATTAAATCATTGGAAAAAATAAATAAATACAATAAAAAAAACATATATAACAAGCAATTTATTACTAACTTTTTATTGTATCTTATGTCTGTATTTTTAAAGATTTTCTCTTTCAATCTTTTATTTTTGAAAGACTTCAACATATTAAAAATTCTAAAAGATTATAAGTAATAAAGGTTAAAGTTGTTCAATATTAAATAATTGTAATGTAGTAAGCGTAAATAGATAATAAATACATTTATATTATTTATTTATATATATTATTTATTACGTCATTATATAAAATAATTGTTATATATAATAATGTGAACAGAAAAATGCTTTATGAGAATCTTTCGCTTCACTTTAAATAATAATATAAAAAATATTAAAACTTAATTCATATTTTAACTTTCAACTATAAAAATTTTTTTACAATTTATCTTTATTTTACTTATAAAAATTAATTAAAGAAGAAATTTTTTTTTTTTTAAATATAAAAAATATATTTGAATCAAATATTTAAATAAATTTTTATTATAACGTTAAAAATTTAGTTAAAGAATTGTTGTGTAATATAAAATTTTAAAAGTATATGAAAATCATTTAGGATCGACATATCCTATGACTGATATGAATATATTATTTAATATAATCATATGTAAATTTTCATGAAATACATTATTATTCTTTTTGAAATTATTTATATTCTATTTTAAAAATATAAAATTAATTTATATACTAATTAAAAAAAAATTATATTTACAATTTATAATAACTAATTATAACTAATATTATAATTTTTATTTTTAATAAAATTTTCAAAATAAAACAAAAATTTATAACTTACTTTAAACTTCTGAACGTTTAGTATTAATTTATAGAGTTTTCGTTTCACTTTTTAATATTGTTGAAACTCCCGGTCTATTTATAACAAATTCCTAACCTATAATTAAAATTCCGCAGTATACTTAAATACTAATATTATAATTTTTTAAAATTTTTTTAGCCTTTTTATGATCTTTCAAGGCTGCTGACTTTAAATATTGTGTACCCATTTTTTCATTCCTTTCAACGTCAAGCTTACCAAGAAAATATGTATGACCAAGATTATAAAGAGCACTAGCATTATCATTATTCGCTGACATTGTCAAATACTTTATAAATTCATCAGCATCAGTAAGAATATTATTTTCCTTATCAATTAAACAAAAAGCATAATGTAATTGAGCTTCTTCATTTTCACGATCCGCCGCTTCCTTAAATAATTTTTTAGCCTTTACCTTGTCTTTTTCAACATAATACCCTTTCGAATAATAATAACCTTGCTTGAATTGTGCGAATACATGACCATTACTTGCATGCTCTTCAAAACATTTCCAGGCTCTTTCATAATTTTTGGTTTTATGAGCCTTTAAACCTTCATCGAAAAGAATTGATGGTGTACTTGAAGTGTCTGAGTTATAATAATGAATATCAAGTTCTGATTCTTGAACCTTCTTCCTTGTGATTGGTTTTAACGATAACGCACCATTATATGCTACAAATAATTCCTGTAGTCTATTAAAAAGAATTGGAATCCCTAGGCGTAATGAAGGTTCTTGTATCCAAGCAAATTGAATAATAGAGTAATATTTTTTTTGAATAGAATTGGTGCAAGATCCAATTTTCAATGATTCCCTGCCCCCATCTGAAACATGTTTTCGAATTTCTGATATGCTCATTTTTTCATATGGTTTCTTTTGAAAACCAAGTTCCCAAAGAAGCATTCCAAAACTAAAAATTTCGCATTGAATAAAATATCTAACTTCTTCGGGTTTTTTATTGCCTTCCAAATTTTGTTCAGCTGGAATACATTTTAATTTTTCAGGAGCCAACCAATGTACTATATCATTTAAATCGTCAAAATGACAAGTTTCGGCGTTAATTTCACGAGCAAAATTGAATTTGGAAATTTTAGGCTGCATATTTTCCTTTATCAAAATATTTTCACACTTTAAATCGTGGTGAAGTATATCCACACTATGTAAAAAGGCTAAGCCATGACAGATATCTCTTGCAAGAGAAATTTTCATATCCCATCCAATCTCATATTTGAGATAAACCTCTCTTAAAGTTCCCAAATCGGCCCACTCAAAAATCATTACATCCTTGTCGACAATTTTTGATAGGCCAAGAAATTGAATAATGTGTGGACAAATGTTCAATTTTATCAAAATATTGAGTTGATTTTGGATTTTTTGGATATTATTACTTTTAAGAAAATGTTTACAAGCAACATCCATTGCTTTATAAGTTTTCTTCTGAATTATTACCCTATTACCGACACGTGTATCATATTCTGGTGGGTATTCCAACTCATTTGGAGGTATTCGTTTTACTCTTTCAATTGTTAAACTTTTGGTTATTAACTTGTTCGTAAATTTTTTTAATTTCTTCATTGACTGAAGAGAAAACAAATAATTTCTCATTCTTCAGGATTTTATTATTTTGTTCGATAATTATCTTATTTTGTACTTCAACGTTAGTTATTATAGAGATAATTTCTTGGTGAGTTTTGGTATTGTCATCGATGGTCTTGATTTTAGATGTAATACCAGATCCAATGTCATCTAAAAATTTCTTCATTTCAATCATATCACAATGTAGAATCGTTAAATATCTATTCATATTTTTACTTGAAGTAATAGAAATTGCCAAATTCAAATCATTTAAACAACCATCAAATTCTTTAATAATCTCTTGAAAACTTTCTTTGATATTCCCACTGGTAAAAAATTTTTTAAATTTTGATAATTGAGAAATATCATAACAAAAATCTTTAATCTTTTCTAAATAAGTTATATATTTTTCAAAGAGTTATAATAACCTTGACTCCTAAATTTATGAATATTCTCTTCTCTTTCTCTCATTAATCCTTTAATCGCAGCTTCCGCAGCTTCAACTCGGTTGACCAATATTCCACAAGTTTTTTTATTATATTGAACATCCTCATATGCATTGGCTATTTCTTTCGTTAATGTAATTATCGTAGTTACAAGAGGTATGAAAGGCGCAACTACTTCATTTACACAATCCATTGTTGTAGCAATTGTTGAAGTCCAACTTCCAACAGTAGCAAATGTTTCTACAATTCTGTTATCGCTTATTTCGATTGTCATTTTTTTTTTTTTTTTTTTTTAGTTGATAATCAATAACTTTGCTTTATATTTATATATATATCGTACTATAATCACGTAAGGCAAATCTTTTAATATAAAAATTCCATGGAAACGTTCCGTGTAGATCTAATTGAATTATTTCCAAATTAAAATCTTTATTGTTAATTAACAAAAAAGAAATTTTTAAAATTTTTTTTACATAATACATAATATAGCAAAACATTTATAAACAAACATTAATTTCCCGTTATACAGTAATATATATATATGTGATAAATGTTAAAATCTTTGTCGTAGAGGAATTACACAAACTTTAATGCAATTAATTCCACAGAAGCATTCTATAAGCAAATTTATACAATCACGTCTGTCTTTTGAATTGTTTTCTTTAATAAATTATAAAGAACATTCATTTGTAAAGTTTCTTACATATGAAATTATGAAATTTACTTTGTCTCATTTCTGTTTAAAATCTAACTGTAACGTTACACAGTTTCAGTCTTCACCGGAGATTTAGGATCAAATTTGTCCGATTTAAACTTAAATATGATTTAAATAGAATATTACGTATTTATAAATAATAATAAAATCGAATTACGTAAAATTTTTTATTAAAGAACGCATTTTAGTGTCATTTAAAAATTTCCGCAACTATTTAAGCTAATCTCATGAAAATGAATACTTCGCTAATTACTTTGACCAAATTTCCAAATTACACCGCACAAGTAAAAACAAAAACGCGTCTTTATATTTTAAAAACAAAACATCCATAACCTTATAATCCTTCAAATGACCAAATTTCCATGGGTATTGTTATTGTTTAGTTTGACAAAAAATTCACTGTAATTGGAACCGTTTACTTACTCAACAATCATTTTCGCCTACACTTGTTTCACCGACAATAGTTTCGCCAACGGCTACAAAAAAAAAATAGGACCGTAATTATTAATTAGTCCGGAACGAAGTGAAGGACTATATATGTTTTATGCAAAGTGTCCTGATGTCCGCTCCTAGTTTTATTATAATAATTTATTAAACTAGGGAACGGGGACCGTTGAGCATGAGCGAGTTTTGTATGATTAGCTGCTAAACATCGTCTTAATTTTTGTAAAATTTACTGTAATTGGTAAAATTTGTTGCTGATCATCACCAAAATTATAAAAGCACGTGATCTTTTTTAAAAGTAACGTGAAATTTTTAAAAATGCCGCATTGCCAAATTGTGGACCTTATGCAATACATAATTGTGATAAAAATGTTATCAAAGTATTATTTAATTAAATTTTGAAAATTAAAGCTAAAAGTATAATTTATATTATCTATAGAATATAGAATAATAATCTTTATATATTTAATATTGATTATTATTATACAATTCACAATTGGAACATCCTCCTTCACCAAAAAATTATGACTTATGCAATAAACCCTATTGCAAATAATCCTATGTATGATGGTAAAGTATTAATTTGTGGTTATGTTATCCATGGGGTTGTCTTATACACTTAAAATAAAAATATAGGTATTATGAATATTACTGTAACAAAGGAATTTAAACAAATGTTAAATCATTTTTAAATTGATTAAAAAAAGACTTTATGACACTTACTGAAGAAGATATAAGTTTGAAAGGGAAGAAAAAAGGAAATTCTAGAGGAGGAAGAGATATACTTATAGAAATAATGATAGAAAAAAATTGGCAAATATCTGTAATTAGTAATGCTAATTAGTATTGGAAATTCAAAAAGAATAATTAAAAAAAAAATAAAAATCACAATAATTAATATAAAATTCAAATATGTAATTCTATATAGTTTATTATTAACGATTTTTCATTATTTTTAATAATTAAATAACTTCTGAAATTAATTAAATCTATTTTGATCTCTACAATTAATAAGCAAATAAAAGGTTATTTTGATATTTGTAAAATTTTTTAATAAAGTTTAGTGAGAAAAAGTCACCATTTATGTAATATATTTCATGTTAAATCCAAAATAATCTTAACTCAAAAAAAATTCATAATGGTATTTGCTTTATCTAAACTTTTGTGCAATTGTAAAAGCCAATTAGCATTGACTCAATTATTAAGCAACAGATTGACAAATTTATTAAGTTATATAGTATTTAATAGTTCTCCATTTATGCTTCAAAAAAATAATTTATAATAAATTTATTTGTAAAGATTTGTATATAATTAATCTTTATTTCATTAAATGTAAAATTAACTTCTTAATGAAAGATATCTTGAAGAAATTCTTGACTATTCTATTATTCTGATCATTATTAGTTTGAATGTATCATCTAATATTTCTCATCTTTAATGCCAAATTTCTTTAGAATTTTAAGTCTAAGAAAATGAATATTTAATATTGTCAGTAATTAACCAAAGTTAGAAAAAAATATTAATATAAATTGTATCACATTTCAACTTCTTGATATATATCTTAACTCTACTATAAATATAATATCTTTTAAAACTATTCTATAATTTTATTAACTTCTGCTAGTATGTAAGTCTTAATTCATCAAATTCTGTAAGAATATCTTTAGAAAATAAAGAGACCAATGCTAATTTAAATAACAAACTGAAATTTTTATCAGTTTTATATATATATACACCTAAAGTATTTTAACAAAATATTAGCATTATTACATATAATAATAATTGTAAAACTATTATAAACTGTATAAAAAAATATATAAATATAAAAAGTAAAAGTAAAAAAAACTTTTTCTTCTTTTTCATCTAATCATATTTTTCAGAAAAATAAAAAATTGTTTTTTTTTATTTTTTTAAAAACTTTTGTTTGCTTTTACATACAAAATATTTTAAAAAGTTAAAATAAACTGGTAAGCTATCTAAATACTTTTAAATATGTAAAGTATCATGTATAGAACTCTGAATTAAATCAGATTAATCTATTACCTAACCTGTTTAACCTAAAAATTCAGATCAGATCATTGAAATTGTTTTAATTAAATAATTTCATATTTTTTATTTAAATGATTTATTATTATTTAATTAAAATAATTTCTTATCATTCATTTTGAATAATTCATTATTATTTAATTAGACAATTTTTTATCATTCAATTTAAATGATTTATTATCATTTAATAAGAATAATTTTATTAATTTGATCTGAATTTTTCAGATCAAATAAGTTAGAACAGATTATTTAATTTACTATTTAAAAAATGTATCAGATTAAATTAACTAATAACCTAGACTGATCTGACTTATTTGATACTCTAATTTAAATAAATAGAATAAATCAAATTAAAATAGATTATTCAATTCATAATCTGAAAAATATCAGACTACTTAAACTGATTTGAAGTAACTAGTTTACTGAAGTAATCTAAATTAACCTAAGTAATTTTATGTTAATTAAATTAAAACAAGTTATCTGATCTGATATAATCTGAAAAAAATATAAAATTACTTAAACTTATTTAACCTTTAAGTGAAGTAAAATCAAATTATATAAAATAATTTAAATATTCTAAATACTTTTAAATCAAATAGATAATTAGATCAGAATAGATTACCTGACTTAATCTAAAAAAATTTTAGATTAGATTAATAAGGTAACTTAAATTAATCTAACCTGTTAAAAACTCTAGAAATATATCTATCTTATATTTTTAACTCTATCTTAATTATAATAGTAAATTTTTTAAATTTTTTTTAAAAAAATGTCTTGATAATCTTTAGTATATTTAAAAGATATTTTTTTAATAGAAAATGCCTTATCTCACTTATTATAAAAAATCTGTTTTAATAAACAATATATTAGTATTGATAATTCTTATCCTATAAAGCATAGGTATATATTAGCTATAAAATATTATAGAAAAATTATAATATTTTAATATTTAGTGATTATAAAAAGATGAAATAAAGTTTATTAGATTTGCTATATTAAGATCTATCTAATAATAGTATTTTTAAATTTTTAAAATTAATAATTATTAATATATATTAATTTTTCAATTTTTCAATTTTTTAAAATAACTTATTATCTAATAATTATAAGAAAATAACCAAATATTTCCTACAACTAGAAAACAAAGTACGTATGAAAAAAACCTGAACCTTACAATAAAACTGCTTCAAACTTTTCAGACAACAGTAAAGAATCCAGTATTCCATCTTCTAATGATAATGAAAAGAACAAAAATGATGATAAAGTTATTAAAATTACAAAAAAACAAAAAATTGAAACTCCAAAACTTAATATCACTCCAACAGTCACAGAAGTTCCAAATACAACCTAACCAATACTAACTATTATGTAAACCACTTTTACTACTTTTTCAATAAACTTTATATTTGAAGACTTTGAAGTCTATAAAATGAAAATAGATTCTGCTAAGAAAGCTTCACTTTCTTCTTCACAAGGCCCTAGTACAAATAACTTTATACATATAAAGAACACAACAAATGATACTACTCAATCTTCATTTACATCTACCATTAACAAGAGAAAAAACAAACAACTTTCTTGGGCTGATCAAGTTGAAAATAATGTAAACGATTCTAGCTAATCACATAATACTAACGTGAAAAGTATTACTTTTAATATTATTACCTCACTAATGCATTTTTTTATATCTGATGATGTTGTAAATATCACTGGCAAATTTATTGCTGATAAAAGAAATTTTATCAACAGGTTTTTTGTTAACTTTCTCAGCTATCAAAGAACTTTGTATAACTCTAAATTAAGAAAATTTTTTGTTTATTTTCAAGCTATTGATCAACTTATATATACAGTTACAAAAGTTTAGGAGACGTAATACAACCTGTGTTTGTGGTTGCTGATTTATCTATCAAGAAATAAAGAATAAATGCTGAAAAAGGTAGATACATTAAAGTCAATAACATTTTCTTATTTGTTAAATCAAATGTAAT